GAAGGAGAGGGAGACAGAGATCTTCACTCTACTGGTTCCTTCCCCAAATGGCCTTGGCTGGGCAAAGAGCTCAGAACTCCATCTGGGTTTCATACGTATGTGGCAGGGGTCCAAATACTTGGACCACCTACTGCTGCATTCCCAGGTGCATTAGCAGGCAGCTGGATTGGAAGCAGAGCAGCTGGGACTTGAACTCATGCTCTGATTTAGGATGCTGGTGGGTGTTGCAGATGGTGGCATAACCCACTGCATCACAATGCCTTCCCCTATCTTTTTATTTTTGATTGGCAACCAATTTCAAGGACCACTGTCTAGTAGTATATATCATTTCTAAAAGTGCATATTTCTTACTGTGTTCATACACTACCCAGATCTCAACAATCTTTAGAGTTACACAGAGAAAAAGAAGACCCTTTTAGAAGGGCCTGTGATACACTGTTGGTGGGGATGTCAATTGTTATAAATATTTTGAAAGGCAATTTACCAAAATCTAGAAAAGATGAAAGGATGTGTTTGCTAAAACCTAGAAATTTTCTTGCTAAGGAAACTGATAATTTGAAGGCATGTAATATAATTTATAGTAGAATTAAAAAAAAACCCTAAATGTTCATCAAAAGAACAATAGATAATTAGCAGTAGATAATTAAATTGTTGTACATTTAAGTGATGGAATACCACACAGCAATAAAAATGAGTGATCAATATATAGCAACATAGATTTCAAAAATCTAAGATTAAATTGTAGCATTTGTGAAGAACTGAAACCTTAAAAACATTAACTGTGCATTATTTATGGCTACATAAGTAGGTGGCAGTGGTATTAAATTATGAACAGGTTGGATACCCAACTAAGGCCTCCTGTGAGCTCACTGCAGTGGTGGGAACAGAGTTGTACTTTGTAAATGAGGTATTTTTATAGAGTTCTTTGCCTCGTTTCTCTGCTTACTGTTCTGCCTCACCTCTTGGCTTTCCTCTAGAATTAACACCCATTGTGACTCAGTTTTGCCAGTGGGTCCCAGTGAATAAGTATTGACCACACGGGGCAGCCATGCATCCTGGGGGACCCGAGTGGAGGCAGCACTGGAAGTTGGAGTAAGAGTAAAGCCCTAGAGCTGTAACCATTTGATTCTTACAGCCATTCAGAAAGAAGAATATTTTTGTGTGTAAACATGTTAGATCTCTCAAGAGCATAGAGAATCAGCTCTTAAAGTTGTAAAACCCATGTTTCCTTCCTGTGTGTCCTATGGCAGTGTAAAATGCAAACTTGTATCACAAAAGAAGGCAAAACCAAAACTTGAGGTTTGGACAACATAGGGCAGAAGCCATCGTGTTTTTTTTTTAAAGATTTATTTTTTATTTATTTGAAAGACAGAGTTACAGAGAGAGGTAGAGACAGAGAGAGAGTTCTTCCATCTGCTTGTTCACTCCCCAGATGGCCGCAACGGCTGGAGCTGCGCCAGTATGAAGCCAGGAGCCCAGAGCTTCTTCCTGGTCTCCCATGTGGGTGCAGGGGCCCAAGGACTTGGGCCATCTTCTGCTATCCCAGGCCATAGCAGAGAGCTGGATCGGAAGAGGAACAGCCAGGACTAGAACTGGCGCCCATATGGGATGCCGGCGCCTCAGGCCAGGGTGTTAACCCACTGTGCCACGGTGCTGGCCCCGACATCATCTTTTATACTGAGTCTTGTATTATAGGACACAAAGAGACATTTTTGTCAAAGTTTTCTGGAAACCAGCTTTACTGAATTTTTATTGAAAATACATGTTATAGTTACCTTGTCATTACTATAATAAATACCTGGAAGAAGCTACTCGTGAACGAAGGAAGTTTATTTCAGCTTCCAGTTTTGGAGGTTCGTAGTCCAACACTGAGCAGCCCCTTCTATTTGACCGTCTGGTGAGGCTGGAGGGTGGCAAGGACAGGGTGTGTAATGATCACATGGTGAGCCAGGGGGCACCTAGCATTGGGGTCTGTCTGGCTTCTTACAAAACAGCTATGATTTGATCATGGGGGTACCACCATAGCAATCTAAACACTTCCCAAAGGTGGGGACCAAGACTTTAACACTTTTTTTAAAAAAATACTTATTTATTTGAAAGTCAGAGTTACAGAGTAGGGGGTAGGGAGAGCAAGAGAGAAAGGTAGAGAAATATAGATCTTCCATCTGCTGTTTCACTCCCAGATGGCCACAGTGGCTGGGGCTGGGCCGGGACTAAGCCAGGGGCTTCCTCTGCGTTTCCCACTGAGCGGCAGGGACCTATGTATTTGCGCCACCCTCTATATCCTCTGCTGCTTTTCCCAGGCCATTAGCAGGGAGCTGGATTAGAAAGTGGAGCAGCCAGAACATGGCTCAGTACCCCAACACATGGGTTTTTGAGGGACAGCCAAACTAATATCCAAACCATAGTGATGTGCAAGCATTCAGTATTTCAGGACTTCACATTTCAAAAAAAATCAGATTTCGGAGTTTATAAACTGCGAAGTTTTGGCGATTCAGGGCCTACTGTGAAGTCTGGGAATAGTCATCTGGAGGTGCTGCCCCCTGCAGGTGGAGTGTGTACTCTTCTGCTAACCACATTCATGCTGCCTGCCTGGCTATGGATTGATAATGCCTAGTTCAGGACAACAAATGATGTCATCTGTATTTCTCACTCCTAACAGCCTTTCCTTTCCCCAGACATTTCAGTCATGTGTTTCCAACTAGACTCGAATCTCAAGATGACTGTTCGGCCTCACCGTTCTTCCTCGGGTCTTGGTTTTATCTGGGGACCCGGGCAGTATGAGCCAATTAAAGTGATGATCAGAAGTTCTTTAAAACCTCGGTGGCAGAAATATGGCCTTGGTGCTTATTGTTCCTATGTGGCCATGAAAGATGACTACGTAGGAATAGCCGAGTGTACCAAGCAGACAAAATTAAGTTTTACAATTCTGAATGCAGACCACACTCTATTATTTATAACATCCACAGCAACAATTCCCCAAGAACTAAGTCTAATTAAGAATTCCTGTTCATTATCTAATGTAAAAATAGATTGAGATGAGTCCCAGATTCCATCCATGCTTAAGGCATGGGTTGGGGGTGGGAGAGTAAGGGCTCTCTAGGTGGTTGCTGTCTGGGTGAGGAGACAGAGTGCCCAACAGCAGGTTCAAATAGGCCATTCAGTCAAAGGGATGCATTTCTGCAGGGCAACCTCTCAAAAAGATTCCTTTCAATGCCCTGGGCAGAAGTTGGTTCAACTGGGTCTGTTAGTTTTTTGTTTTTTTTTTTGGTTTTTTTTTTTTTTTGACAGGCAGAGTGGACAGTGAGAGAGAGAAACAGAGAGAGAAAGGTCTTCCTTTGCCGTTGGATCACCCTCCAATGGCCGCTGCTGCAGCCGGCGCACCGCGCTGATCCGATGGCAGGAGCCAGGAGCCAGGTGCTTTTCCTGGTCTCCCATGGGGTGCAGGGCCCAAGCACCTGGGCCATCCTCCACTGCACTCCCTGGCCACAGCAGAGGGCTGGCCTGGAAGAGGGGCAACCGGGACAGAATCCGGCTCCCCGACCGGGACTAGAACCCGGTGTGCCGGCGCCGCAAGGTGGAGGATTAGCCTATTGAGCCACGGTGCCGGCTCCAACTGGGTCTGTTAGAATCAAAAGCTCAGCTACAGTGGATTTTGCTAGACTTAGCTGACCACAAGTAGCCACAACTGCAAGTTTTCCATAAAGTGGGCACATGCATGTTGGGAACCAAGGGGAGCTGGGAAGGGATGACCCAAGGGATAGCCACCGTCTCTGGACATTGTCAGAGCTCACTTTCCAGGTCTGCTTCTTAGTCTGCCTGATGTGTCATCATTTGAGCCATTTCCCTGTATTCAAACACAATCCCTAAACCCTATCCTTTTGCACACAAGTATCTTTGTAAAAGCTTTTTTAAAAGTAAGATGTACTTGTTCTATCAGTATGAAAGGCTGTGTGGGGGGGGCGGGGAGAGAAATCTCCCATCGTTGGTTCATTCCCCAAATGCCTGCAATAGCTGGGGCTGGGCTGGGCTGAAGTCAGGAACCAGCAACTCAGTCCTGTTCTTCCATGTGGGTGACAGGGTCTCAAGTAGTTGCACAGTCACCACTGCCTCCCAGAGTGCACATTAGTAGGAAGCTGACATTGGGAACAGAGTGGGTTCTATGATATGGGTACAGGCATCCCAAGTAGTGCCTCAACTTGCAATGCCAAATGCCTGCTCTTGGGAGAAGCTTGCTTACTTGCCTTTTTTATTTTTTAAAGATTCATTTATTTATTTGAAAATCAGAGTTATACAGGGAGAGGAACAGAGAGAGAGAGAGTGGTTGAGCTGGCTTCCATCTGCTGGTTTACACCCTAGGTGGCCGCAATGGCTAGGGCTGAAGGAAGGAGCAAGGAGTTTCATCTGGGTCTCCCACATGGGTACTTGGGCCATATTCTGCTGCTTTCCCCAAGCCATTAGCAGGGAGTTGGATTGGATGTGGAGCAGCCAAGACTCAAACTGGAGCCCACACAGGAGATGCAGGGGTCGACTTTAACTACTATACCACAAAGCCAGTCCTCTGGGAGAAGATATAAAAATACTTTAACAAATATTTACTGTCTGTATCAGGCTCTTTGTCTTGCATGAATTCATGCCCAAGGTCACAAAGCTAGTAAGTGGTCATTAGGATTGGTATTCCATTGAATCCAAGTTCTTTGCTTTATAAAGCAAAGAAAGCTTTATAAAGCTATAGCTCAGGTTTTCAGTGTGTGATCCTAAGATTGTGTGTGTGTGTGTGTGTGTGTGTAAGTGTGTTTGTAGGGGTCAGAGACCCTTTCAGTGAATCTGTGAGTTCAGAGCTCTTCGGAATTACATCAACACAGAATTTGCCTTTTAATCTCTCATGGATTTACAGGGGAGGTTTCCAGAAGCTACATGACATGTGGTATCACATTGGACTGAATGTAGATGCAGATGTGAAAATCCAGCTGTGTTCTATTCAGCTAGACACTAAAGAGGTTTGCAAACAGACACCATAATGCTGTTCTTCTCATTAATTTTCTGTTTGGTTTAGAGCTGTTTGGGTTTTCAATGGTTTTGAAGAGAGGAAAGCATGCTGGCACCAAAATAAGTGAGAACCACTGCTACCTCCCCGTCTTCATCTGAGTGGGCACTCAATTCCTTTTCCTCTGATAAAGTGAGTAAAGAGAGACATGGTGTTGGGGAGTGAGGTGGGGAGAAAGGCAGCCTCTGCCATGGATGAGGCAGCCTTTGAAAGGGAGAAGGTGGCACGAGCGTCCCCAGAAGGGAGAGGGCTTCAGGAGATCCAGAGGCATTAGGAACAAGTCTTTCTCCTTGCTTGAACTGGTAGCTGGATATTATGTTGTGGAGGCAGGAACCTAGACATGATTTAGAAGACTTGCTTTGCAAAATTGCTCTGAAGTGGTGTGACCTGGGGAAATTGCTCACCCTTGCTGGACTTGATTTAGCTTGGCTGTGAAATAAAAGTATTAGACTCAAGATTTTCAGCCCGATAGTGTGAAACAGAATAGAGAATAAAACATAGCAGTGGTTAAAGATAAAATAATAGATGAGTCAGCAAAGTTTGTAAATATTTGTTCAGTAAAAAACTAAGCACATGTGGCACTGTTTCCTATCAATGTGCCACTCTGCACACTTGAATTTTGATGTGCTTTCTTGGCTGGAACCACTGCTAGCACGGAATGGCTTGGCTTAGGCCAGAATCATCCATTGTGGGTCATGAAAGAGGGCAAGAGCCATTGGAAGTAGATGACTTGGTCAAACTTTTCTCCAGTCTCAAATCTCTTGTCTGCTATGCAACCTGTTCCTATCTTGCTGATGCATACCTCAAAGAACAGAGGGGAGGCCGACTCAGAAAGGGACCAAGAGTTATCAGATCTTCAGCCACATAAACCCAAGAGTATTTCTCAACTGCCACCTGCTCCCTGTGTGTCTTTGAGCAAGAGATATAATTTATTTGTAAAAAGGGGGATAATAATACTTCAAAGGGCTGTTGTCACTGTTGAATGAGAAAACAGACATCAAACTGGCTGGCTCCCAGCCAGTATTCAGTATGTATTGGTTGCTTTCTCTTTTTTCTAAGTGGGCAAATAGGGAATTGGAGAAACAGATGTGAAAGGTTTGTCTTCTGGGGGTGCCTCTTGATGCTATGGAGGACTGCCCCAGAGGGTTGAGGCTGAGCACTTGGATGGCCAATAGGAGGAAAAGCTGTTTTGTAGTTCTGTAGCCAGAAGTCAAGTTGGTCTGGGGCTACCATTTTTGTACCTGTTCATTCCTGGTGACCACATGGACTATCTCCTCACTCACATCTGCTCCCCTGGGTCCCACTGCCTGGGAGCCATGATGGATGAACTCCAGCCAGTTAAGACTTTGCTCCCTATTTATCATCTTCTGCCTTGCCTCGGGGAGCTGTTTGCTTTCCAACATATGAGTTGGAGGAGATGGATTACACGTTGTCAAAAAGGTAAATAATGGGATGTGATGGTCATTCCTTTGTGATACAGGTGAGAGAAACATTTAAGCATTTCAACAGCTTAATAGCGACCCCAAGGAAAGGACTTTTGTGATTACTGATTCGCCCTCCCTGTCTTATTGTCTTGACTTTTTCACGAAAGTGCTTTATTCAGATTTTTAAAGCTATTTTCTTGGCAATAAAGTATTTGAAGAAAATGATGTGCTGAGATGAACCTGTGTATGTGAACCAGAGAACTGAACAGGGAAGAGAAGAGAGGGCATTTTCTGCTCCATGTAGCACTGGTGGGTGGGGGAATGGGCTGCTTTGCAGAACACAGCAGTACTTTCAGGGATCTGGATCAAAGTGGATCATCTCAAGGAGGGACTAGAAGGATTGTGACTCTGCAGGGACGGTGACACTATATGGCTGTAAGCAACGGTAGTGGCAGACTGATGAGACCTCATTCTCACCTCATTCACTTGAACGTGAAAGTAGGGTTGGTGCTTTGGGTTGAGTTATTCCAGAAGGTAAGAAGGTACATTTTGCAATCTCCAATGTAATAATTAATTCAGTCAAGGTCTGTGTCAGTGGATACTAGAGCCATTAGGTGCAAAGTTCTCCAGCAAACAGTAGATCCATGTGACTTAAGCATCGCCTCACAGATTACTAATGAATTGTGAAGGTAAAACATATCCTTACATTGGAGAGATCTGTAGGTCTGTACCTTAACCACATGGTCAAACTCAGTGCCACTGCCAAGGGAAGGAAGCACCTGGCATTGTATACCTCCTGCTGTGATACAAAGGTATGCAAGGTACTTGTGAAGTGTTCCTGTCAAATATATTTGACTCTGATAAAGTCTTTAAACCAAAATGCAGAATAGCATGAACAGGATAAGAGAAAATAACATGAATCCAGAATGTGGGACATTAAACCAGTTGGACTGTAAAAAGTCAATGTCATGAGTTGGTACTGTGGCTCAGTGGGCTAAGCTACCTCTTGTGAAAGCAGACATCAGAGGGCAGATTCAAGTCCCAGCTGCTCTGCTTCTGGTACAGCTTCCTCACAATGGGCCTGGGAATGCAGTGCATGATGGTCCAAAGTGCTTGGGCCCCTACCACCCATGTTGGAGACCAGAATGGACTTCTTGGCTGCTGGCTTCAACCTGGCCTACACCTGATTGTTGCATCTATTTGGGGAGTGACCCAGGGGAATGACTCACTCGCTCTTGCTCTCTCTCACCCCCCTCTCTGTTATTCTGTCTTTCAAACAAATAATTTTTTTTTTTTCAAAAAAAGTCAATGTTGTGAAAGTTAAGTGTGTGCTTATGGCTACTCTGGATTGAAAGGCTCAGGAAGTATGTGACCAAATGAGATGATTGAAAAATAAATAAATAGTCACAAGAATACATCTGGTAACAATCATGGAATTTGAGTGTGGACAGATACTAGATGGCATTAAGGATTATTTTAAATTTATTTATCTGTGATAATGGTATTGTGTTATGGAAGAGAATATTCTTAGGAGATTTTAAAGTATAAAGAAGTGGAATATTTCATTACATAACTTTGTTTCATGTACTTTTAGAAAAAAATATACATATACAGAGTGAGGTGGCAAATACAGCAAAGTATAAATAATTGTTGATGGTAGATGGTTTATACAGATGTTTATTTTCCTGTTCTTTCAGTGTTTTGCAGGTGTTTCAAACTTTCCTTGTTAAGAGTTAGAGGAAAAGAAAAGTGAGCAAGACTCAAGGGGAGAGAGTTGAGGTCCAGCTAACAAGATGTGAGATTCAAAGGATTCCCTGGAAAAACTAAGCGATGTGACGTTAGTTGTGTGTTTGTGGAGCAGTAAGTCATGCTTCGAAAAATTGCAGATGAATGTTTTTCACCTAGAAATTCCAGGTTGACAGAGAATAATGTGCCAGTTCCCTAAAGTCATGATGAGGAAGGCCACCATCTAAAATACAGGTGGCTTTCTTGTGGGCAGACAGTCCTCCATGGTGTGGAAGCAGGGATTCTGATCCCAAGACACAGGAGCTGACAAGACTCCTAATGTTCATTTTCAGGAGGGGTAACTGTAGGAGGCTATGGGAGCTTTGGCTTGTGGGAGACTTGGAAGTGAACTGACTGCTCACCTTGTCTTCATCAGAAGTGGCTTGACTGACTTTAATTGAGGATTGCATCGTGTGGACTTCGGTGCATTTGTTTGGCAGCTGTGGGGAGGATGGGTGTGTGAGTACTGATTCCAATAGCATCCAGCTGTTTGCTGGATTTCTTCTACAGACAGATGTTCCAAACTGTGTGTGCATTCTGCTTTGACATCTTTCCTGGGGTCTCAGGACTTTACTGTTAGAAGGACAGCTGGTTCTTAACCCACAGTTGATGGATTCTTCAATATGAGTTTTCAGGGAACCCATAAACCACTGTTACTCATTTTACAAATTTCAGGGCTTTTTTTTCCCCCTGTCTCTCTCTAGGAAGGGTTCTGAGCTAGCAGTAGATCCAAATAAGTGATTAGGACTCAAGAATTTGAGGAGCCATTGATCTGGTCCAACCCGTGAGCCCCACTGAGCAGAGAAACTTTTGTTATTGAGCTTTTTGGAATTCTGTGTACTTTATAGACTGACCTGGTTTTCTACCACTGCAGACTGAGCTGATGGCCCAGTAAAATTGGTTGAATGAAATCGGGCCACTAGGGAGTTTTTGCTGTCAGTATAGAAACTCCAAATAGCAGAGATGGGTCTAGTTGAAATCTCTAAGAAGGGAAACAAATTTAGGAGCAACCCCTGTAGTCTGTGGAAGCCAGTGGCAAGGGGGAACCAGATGGGTTCTTTGGACTGGGTTATATTTGAGCTCTGAGGGAAACATGTCATTTAGAAATATGTGTCAACCAGGTCCATTCCCTCCACCCACTAATCTCCCCACCTAGCCCCTTCACCCTCTCTACAAAAACAAACAAACAAACAAGCAAACAAACAAACAAACAAAAAACCTTGGGCTCCTTGCATTGACACAAAGGAGAGAGCTCCTTTTTGCTTCTGAAACAGGGAACATACTTTATTTGATGAAACATTGCTGTGCTCCCTAAATATGTCTGATAAATGGAAAAGATTCTTTAAACGTTGAAGGGGACGGGTGGGAGTGGGGGCTGCAGAATTATAACTGAGATTATTGCCATTTAAGTAGTTTTTGAAGGGCTTCAAGCTTCTACGAGCTGAATGGAAGTTTTGCTGGGTCTGGGAGCCACCTCCATTTCCGTTTTGTGAACGTCGTCGTGTGGGCTGCTACTCTCTACCTCCACATTTTCTTCTGTCATCTTCTCTTGTCAGCTCCCTGTCAGCAGTCAGTGACTCAGTGGCTGACAGTGAGGCACCCTATTAGTAGCATCTTCCCGTGACCAAATTAGCTTGCATAAGTTTTAAATATCTCTTAGGGGACATCTGTTGGATTGTGTGTGTGTGTGTGTGTGTGTATGTATGTATGTAAATATCTGTTGCTACTAGATTGGAAACCACACTGGGGGAAAATACTTTGGTGAGTAAAGCATTCATGGCCATTTCCCCTAAACCTATTCAGGCCAGATCCAATCTTATATAAAAGGTCTCAGGTATCTAATTTTTTCACCTTCTATCTGCTTTCTACTGTATGGGCAAAAGCCCATCATTCATTTGTTTATTCAGTGTATCACTCATTTGCTTTGTCATTCATTTATGTGTTCATTCATCCATTCACTAAATGTTTATTGGCTTGTAATTGCAATATACTGTTGCACTCTCACCAGAATATTTGAGATTCACATTTGAGATTCAAGTTCTCAGAGTCATTTTCAACTTTTCTCTTTCCATTGGCTTATGTCTACAGTCACCCCATTATGTCTGCCTAACGGATTATTCTTACTATATTTAACCCATTTTGTGGCTCGTTACCTCATTGGCAAGACCTGTCTATTTCCCATTTTGGCTTCCTCATCATTTCCCCTTTCAGATCATCTTTAGTCTCACCTAGATCAAATTTTCTGGACTCATCTCTTTCTGCTAATGGCATTTTGGCATGTACTCCAGCCACAATAAATCACCTGCCTATTTTCCATTTTTCTGTTGTCTCTTTATGGTACTGCGAATCTTTCCTGGTCATGCTATACTTCTTTTCTGGGAATCCTTCCTCCTCCCTCTGTTGTGCCTTTCTTGATTATATCTGTCCCAGCTGAATTATCCTGGGAAACCTCCCTATATCAAGGCTTACTTTAATCAATCTGTAAAATCCATTTTACTGTCTAATGTAACACTCTCAGTTCCTGGAGATTAGTAGATGGACATCTTCAGAGGGTCATTACTTGGCCTACTACAGGGGGATTTCTTTTACGGATACTGATATGTCTTCAGAGCCTAAAGGTGAGACTATAGTCATGAACTAGGAAGAGTCTAGAATCTTTGTGCTTCCAATAACTGGTCCTATGTCTGTGTCTATATTCCTTTCTCACTTTCATGGCACACTGATATCCTCAGCATATAGGAAAATGTTTGCTAACAAGTGCCTCAGTCTACAAATTATGGTTTCACTCTTTAGACACTGTCTCTTTCTCATCTCTGCTTCAGATTCCCAAGGGAAAAACTATTTTTGGTACACTTGGGTCAATGCCACCTACACCAGGGATATAACTGAAGGGTAGAGCTCTTCCACATTGTACAAATTCCAGCAAAGCAGCATTTCAAGGGGAGTGCAGTTGAATGTACACTAAAAAAAATTTCTATGAAGGATGACAGGTTGTTCACCAGGATATTGAGTCAGAGGGTGACATTTCAGATAGAATGTACTAGGACTTAGTCAAGTGTTCTTCCAGTAGTGGGTATTCAAGAAATACTTCTTGAATTGAGCTAAATTGTAAAATTTCTTCAAAATGTCTTTTCATCTACAGGGTTTTATCACCTTTTATTTGGGATCCTGCAATCTGTCTCGTTGCAAACGGCCTTGCCACATCTTTACATGTGACTTTTTTTTTTTTTTTGGTCTAGAATCCTCCAGTCACTTTCTTATCAGAGAATAAAGTCCCAACTTCATCCTAGTCTTAATATATAAAGTGATGAATTCCCTTTCCCCATCTGGGACAGGAGAATCATAATGGTAATCTCATATAGATATGCTGAGGAGATTGAGTAGAAGAGATTATTATACTTTCTGACAAACTTTTAGGGTGGGCCCTCTGCCCTGGTCATGTTGGTTTCCTACTGCTTCCCAAGCATTTGTCTCAGTTATTCTGAGGGCTATGCTTTTGTTTTGCCCAGGATACCAGTCTTGGAGATGTGTGACTCTCTTTGCTGTCTTTAGTTTTGCCTGTTCTAGATCTGGCCAGTCTACAAACATTCATTCTTTCCTCTTCATTCTGAATGCATTTCTAGTATGATCTACACAGTCTTATAGCAGATTATTCAATCCAATTTCCTACTCAAATGTGGGAAACCATCCATGTGTTGGCTTCCTGGTGGCCATTTTTGCTTCTACTTGAATAATTCTAGTGTTGATGAGTTATGATTGGGCTGCTCATCCCCATTCTCTCAGCAGCTCTAATTAAATAACTAAAACATGCAATTATCTTTTTGTATAGCTTTTTAAATAAAATTTTCAGTTCTTCTAGAGGAATAAAGTAGCTGCTCAAAGGGCATCGATCATTTTTATGCCTAAAATTACAAATCTGTGACATTAGTAGTCAAGCCATTGCTACCATTTTTACATTCTTTCATTCCAAATTTACCACTCCTTAGAAGAGATGACTTGCTATTAAAAGCCTTAGTGTGAAGATTATTGTGATGATTCCCACAACAGGTTTTTCAAGAGAAAGAAAGCAAAGGAAACCCTCTCGGTTGTTGACGTCTATTGACACTTGACCCAACTTTACTTGGGTCATTTTAGGTTACTCTCTTACAGCATTTGGATTTTTGGAAAAAAAAAACCCAATTTTTTTTTGGGGGGGGCACAGATTTTACTCCCTTTTGGAGAATCTCTGTAGTCATTTCTGTCTTCATATATAAATAGACCTAAATCTATATGCCTGGTTGGCTTCACCTGTTATGCCACAGCACTGGCCCGTATTTCTTTGAGTAAAGTATTAACTGTTTTGTAATATTGGTTCCAGTGCTATTTGAAAGTGAAATATTTGTCAGAGCAGGGGTGCTTGCTCATTCTTCTTAGGAGGTGCTATGACCAGGGTTGATGGGGGTGATATTTGGCTCCTTACCTCCATCCCTCAGCTCTCCTAATGCCAATCCCATGAGAAATCTAATAATATACTTTAAAACAGATAGAAAAAGCATACCTGCTATACACCATTAGTATGAAGACAAGTTTCTCATGTCTCTGTTACCCAATCAAGTTGCTACCCTAAGCCTTCTCTACAGAAATTCTAGAGCTGCCACTGCCTTTCGTATCTTTTTATACAAGGGTTCAAGACACTATTGTATGGGGTCCTTCCAGGTAATGTAGAGACAGTAGGGAGAAATGGAAACGTATGTCCCTTCTAAAGGGGCACCCAGGATGCTGAGATTCAGCTGGTTATTTTCATGTGGGAATACAGGAGCTTTAGATTTTTCTAGAGAAGGCAGAGATCTGGAATTGGATGTGAAATCTATCATTTTTATGTGTTTAAAACTTTTAAAAATTGGCCCATATCATGCTTTTTCTGTTGGTTAGGTATGACCCATAGGCCACCTGTTTGCAACCTCTGTTCTAGTAACGTATGGAGCCCTAAGCAATTAACTCTTCATACTCCCAAATTTCTTAGCATGAAGAAGGTAGAGTTCAGATAACAGAAAATAAATGCACAAGGAAGTCCAAGCCATGTTTTAAACTACTGAGTTTTTTTTTTTTATTGCAAAACATTTGTTACAGAAATTTCAGAAAGTTTTTCCCGTGGTATCTGCCAACGTCTGCTTCGAATTATATATCTAAACAAACGTGCTCAAAGTGCATTGTGAATCCAATAATAGACTTTTAAAAATGAACAATTCCTCTAAGGATTTATATATATTTATAGTGTCGATAGATATGCCAACCGCTGTCTATCCATACACAAAGAAGGAAAAGATGTATATATATTTAGCAAACCCAATTTGAAAATCATTATATTTATAGAATTTGTTTAAAAATGTTATCTGAATAATTTCCCCCATTATAAACTATGGTTAGAAGATTTACAAACAAGCATCTAAGTCCTATCTTATGAAATGATTATGAGTACAGTTTACTGCATGGACTGTGTGACACAGTGGTAGCAGCAATATGAACTCAGGTCAGATGCTGTAGTGACAGGAAGCAGGACAGTCTTCGTACAATGCTCTGATTCTCTTCTTCTGAATCTCCCTTACAAAGGTGCTGCGTCTGGGTCCAGAACAACATGGCTAACAAATGTGCACACGTGTATAATTCAAGAGAACAAGCATAGGCCTGAGTGGGGGGCGTTCCTCTCCCTCCCTTGCAGTTCTCAGTGTATTTCGTGTGGATGCTCTCTATCCCAAATCAAGAATCTGATCCTACTTGGCTGCGAATCAGAGTCCTGAACGTTTGCCTTTGGGACTGAATGTTGCTGGCAGATTCATTTGTTTGGCTAACATAGTCTTTGAAGCCTGAATTTGAATGTCTTTGTGGTGGGATGTGTTCTCTCGCATGCCCTGTAAACCCCACTTCTGTTGGCTTGCACCAGGCCGGTTTCCACCTTGGGCTCTGGATCTGGCCCCTGGATTCTGTTTGCAACCACTGAATGTAGACACAGAGAGCTGGTGATGAAGATGGAGAGATTCAGATAGGCAAAGAATTGGATGAGGTGCATGCAAACACCAGCCAAGTTAGGAGAGGGTCAGTTAGTGGGAAGATTAGGCCTGGGACCAAGTCTGTAGGCTTGGCTTTCTTCAACTAGCTGCTGTTTCTGCTCACTGTGCCAGGGTCCACAAGGTACTGAGATAATGGAAGCAAGGATGTGTTGGCCTGGCAAAAAAAGCAGCTAGAATTTGATTGATAGGAAGAAAGTAGAAAGGGGTTATGAAGGTTGCACTTGTAGGCTTGAAGCAGAATTCCCCACTGTGTCCCATAGTTCTCAGCAGCTTGCCTTCAGAGGAAGGCCTGGCTCATGGTTGGCATCAATGCTCTTCAGGAAACCTATGCACTCACAGCCATGCACGTATCTTTTTCCCTTCCTGGTACACAATCAGTGTGCAAATACACAATAGTCTATAGGTTTAGGGTGGCCAGTGGACTAGGAAAGTCAGGGAAAGGAACATTCACCTCACTGTTAATGCCATCTGGATTCCCTAGTCATCGCAATCCTCTCTTTGACGATGTGTAGAAATGGCCACATCTTGACTTCTTTAGCAGTACTAAGTACAAGGAAATCATCAAAGAAATGTAACTCAAGGACTTTCTGAAATGAATTTCAAAAAGAAAAGAAAAAACACCTGGTTTTTATGAAATCAGAATCAACCCCTTCTTTGGTTGGCTCCAATCTGTGAGACAGGCAGTTGACTTGTATGGAAAAGCAACAAGTTTAGGTCAATGCAGGCTGAGAGTGTCTCTACTCATTTTAGGAGCGGTCATTGACATGTCTGCACAAACTGCTACCTCCCTTTCTCCAGAAGTTGAATGGCTTGTAAAAACGAAACTACAACTAAACTCCTTAGAGTCACCCAGTCTCAATAACATCCCCAAACACCTGTCTTGCACCAGGGAGCCAAGCTCATCCAGGTACATGTTGTACCTCAGAATCACTCATCGACAGTGATCTGTGTACTTGTGCACTGTCATGAATGTCCTTTCCACTCTCATCTCTGGATTAGTAATTTGCATCCAGAACCCCTAAAGAATCAGCAAAATGTCTTTCATATATCACAGATGCATTGACACCTAGACATTGGTAGACCCAAGTAGTATTGGCTTGCCATCTCTGTGTCCCATCGCTATATAACCTGTGGTTAATATTTTATTTCATATTATTTGTTCAGAGCCTAAAAAGAAGATTAAAAAATCCCTTTGTTACTTTTTTGTTTTTACTGTTTAAAAACTGAATATAAGAAGCCCAACCAATTGAGTAAGTTCCTAAATGGTTTAAATGCTACAGCAGGCTATAGTAACATGTTAAGTGCATTAGAAAAGTCAAAAGAAATGCATAAAGCAGTGCATGCATCTTGCTGACACAAAATTAAGACCGGGTTTGGAGAGGGATTACTTCATTTAAGTCACATGGTTATTATTATAGAATAGTGAGTTATAATGCAATATCTGGGCCAATTACAGAACCACCTACACACTAGCATCATTTTATCTAGAAACAACAGTGTTACTGAATGAACATATTTATAAAATACTGTACACTGCTTCCACATTGGGTCAGCAGATGTAAACAAACAGCTAATTGAACTGGAGTTTGAAATATTAAGTTCATTTGTTATTTAGTCTTCTGCGTAACATGCCAGTTCGTCTCTCGCAAAGTCACAACTTGCCTACCACGGCTTGCAGGACGTGGTGGAGGATGTACATCAGCACATACACATACTGTACAGTGGTCTACAGGGATGTGAGGAACACAAAGCAGAGCAGGAACAAAATATGCTCATTTCACGAGGATGCTAAATAACATGGAAATGGGAACATAATTAATCCTTGCAACATGTGTTTCTTTATTGAATGTTACAGAGTTATAAATGATTATAAAGCTGTCCTGTAACGTTCATTAATACAACCACATGCTACAGCTACGCTGGGTCCAACACAGGTTACATATATGTTTACATGTGTTTTATAATACAGCATTGCCCAACACGTAGAGTGGGGTAGCCTATAGAGAGAGCATGATGGATGACTGGATAATATTTACTTGAAGAAGTGAAACAGTCCAAACATTCAGGAAGGTTAGACTGCAGAGGCTCAGAAAGTAGCAAAAATGTACTATCCAGTTATCTACCATAATATCATCCATAGCAACTCTATCTCAGAAGACATTTGAAACATTCGGAAGAAACATATCTGTGTCTTCATGATACATTTTCCCCATTTAATTGTTTATATATATATATATATTTCAAAGGGCAACTTTCAAAGTGCTAAGTAATAGCCTATATGGAAATGTAGACTTAAAAATCCAGTTCTGTAAAGTGCTGCATTCTGACTGCTAACACACCTCGTGGCTTGCAGAAGAAATACATAGGCTAGCCACAGTGATTACGCCCAAGCTTTCCAGCTTCTCATTCAATTCCATCGGGGAGGGGGGGGGGGTTCTAGCTATAAATATAAAGTATGTGGGTTAATCAGGAAACCTGCATGATCATTTTCATAAGACATTCTGAATATTTTTCTCTAAAGGAACAAGCAACTTAGAACAATTCATAACACAGAACAGTATATAAAAATTGGCACCTTTGAAGCAGATGATTAAACTGAAGCTATATTACTTCCTTGAGCTCTCTGTGACTTGATTTACGGTCATCAATAATTTGCTGCTCACGAGCTGCTTAATTCACAGAGACAAGTAATTAACATCCCCTCCATCAGGGACACGGTGGAATAAATGGGCTAAGCACAAGCTGACCGTACAAGGCCACGACATCAATGCTACGTCGGTGTGCAGAGAACCCAGACGTGGAGAGAGATGGAATTGGAAAATAACACATATGTATGTGCACGGGAAGGGAAAGGCTCATGAAAGTTACATAGTTTGTGTCTCAAGTCATTGAAATTTGGCTTACATATTTCACACACTTCACAAAAGATGTTAGCACTTTTAAGTTTCATGCGCAATGGAAGAAGCAGGTAGCAACGAGGCCGGGACTGTGACACATTCAGTTTTCTAGGTTCTGTTCTTTTCTACCCAGAACTCCTGACGATAGAAACACTTGTGCTCAAAATTTCTTTTCCCCACTTGCAAGCTGGTCCAGAATGAGGCCCTGGAGGTACTTGCCATCCTGTCCTGTGCTCAGGGAAAAACTGTTCACCTCCTGCTTAGGTTCATCTCTGACTCCCTCAGAGAGCCTTGCACTTTGTGAGTGTGCTCACTACGGAAAAATCATCACACTGTTAAGACATAGGGACGTGGGAGTCGTGAAGTCCGATCTAAGGAACAGAAGCAGCAGCACAACCTTGCTTCCGACTCTGGTGCTAGACTTGGCCTTCCTGAGAATCACAGAGAAATGGTCTTAAAATATAAAGTGCCTCTTACAGCTGTATTGATTAGGAACAGACATGGTTTCTTCTCCTCATTATCAATCAGTATGGGACCAGGGCTCATGAGATGTACCCACTTAAAGTTATACTGCAACTTGGCATGCATGTACAGTTTTGCTCTGGGCCTAGAGTTTCCATCAGGTTCTCGTACGGATTCACCTATCAAGGAAATGTAAGGACACCTGATTGATTCTCAGACTGAATGCAGGTTGGCTTGGAGGGAAACAGCCAATGTGGGGCCTAGTGAGTTTTCCTAGAGCAATAATAGATGAAGGAGTCTGGGTGTTTGTTGCTGAGTCACCTGAACACCAAGGAGTAAAAAAGTGCTTTAGTCCTTTGCATATGTGACCCTGTCACTCTTTCTGTACCTGAAAAGCTTTATCAGAGGGTTTTTTTTTTTTTAATATTTAAAGGCAAGGGGTTTTGTCCATGCATTTATTTGATTTTACAAATAACTTGGTGTTTACAACTGCAACTAAAGAAGAAAACAATCAAGTAGTATCTTGGGCTAGGAACATGCAGGCATTTTCCTTTTTAAAAGGCAACAATCCAAACGGGAATCTGAAGATTTGGGGGTCAAGATTCGTTTAGCCCGCTTCAAACCGCGACTTTGCTCTCGAAGCCTCTGCCTGTGGTCTAGAATCTGCGGTTCCAATGGGGTTCTACCTGCGAGTCTGGGCAGACCGTACCCTGTAACAGCTTTGTGCAGGAGAACTCAGAATGAGTGAGATGTCATGACAGCGAGTGCTTTTGGGCGAAAAGAGGTAGAGGGCAGGTGGTAATTCTAGTCTGGTGCAAGGAAAATTAAGGTCGTAGAGATTTTACAAAATCACACTTTCATAGAATGGGCTCTTTCAATAGAACTTCTTGGGTATTAAAATATCTTGTTTATACCTCAAGGTGATAGGAAAGTCTAGGCCTCACGAATATGTCTGTTTATATACTATATATAAGCACGTGTCTCTGTGTCAATGCGTATATACGTATATAAGCAGCATACACTATACAACTCTTCATATGGTTTCTTTGCTTTCTATTTTGGTCTACTGCCTCTTGTCTCATAGCTCTGTATGTAAGAAAAATAGTCATGGTATGCCTGCAACTGATGGCTTTGGGTTGATATCAAACTCCCAGTCAATTCTAAAGTTATTTATGGTTTTGAAACTTCCCTAAAAAGTACTTTGGAACGTTTCCATAGAAAAGATACCAGCCCTTGAAAAACTCCAATTCATTTTATGCTGAGCTCAGATTAGATGGCAAAACCCTAGGTAGGAAAATATCCACACATGGTCATGGACTCATACACAAAACGGTCACGTGATGGCGAGTGGAGTGAAAAACTGGCAGTTACATCTTGCAGGCATTCCGAGGACAGGGTGGAGTCATGCAAATGATGAAGGCCACACAGCAGCATCACACATGATATGAGTGGAGAGAGAATAACAAGGTCCCTTAGGGCAATTTTAGGTTAGTTCAGCCATTGTTTTTTCTTTTTTTAAGTTCAGTATTACATATTCAATGAGTGGATTCGCTGATGACAGGTGAGATACAAAATAAATTAAAAAATATAAAATTATTTGATTACATTCATCCTGAGCTTGCTCGATTCTACCTGAATGCCCACTGGATAGAATAAATCACATGACTTTTGTTAACATGAACTCTTCTTTGATTTTGATTGCAATACAAAAAGGCATTTCTGTTCCCTTATTTTCTTCAAAAGAGATAAACAGTTGTGGCACCAGAAGTGAATATAGAAGAGACAGGTGAACTATGACTGTTACCTTGTTTTTCTTTATAATGACCAATTACAGAGGTGTTGGCATGAGAAGGATGTGGGACGTTAGGTAGAACTGCTTGCTGCCGCCTTATACTGAATAAAAAGGATGCTCTTCATCAGTCACCAGTGATGGAGCCAATGCGAAAAGAAAACAGAATTGAAGTTTAGAATATCTCATCTTGTCTGCTGGCTATTTTATCTTATTTTGCATTCTAGCCCTGCATCCTAAAACTCTTGGTAATGGGCAGAAATCAAAAGATGCCTCCTGGCACGGAGAATGCGCGAAGCCCCTTAGTTGCCCAGATCTTGTGGTGCTCTGCAGTGACTGGTGATACACATCCATCTCCAACCCTTCTTCGCCCCTTCTTCCCCTCCCTGCCCAGCAAGTGTGAACATGCTTCAACCCCCTGTGTTTGGCCCTGGCTCAGATCAGCTTTCTTGATCTGTGGCCCAGAAGTGACCTTGGAGTTAACACTTCCCAAAGCATTGCTTGTTTTGCTCAGCTAAGAATAAAGTGGGTGTGGATCAAGGAAAGGGGGAAGGCTGGAGTTTGGGGGGAATTTGGAGGGCTGGGCTTCTAGGCCTCCTGCCACGCATGGTGAGAAGGCTTAGTTGTGCTTGCTCTCAAAACTGTGGAAAGCCGAGGTTCGGGACAGTCTCCTCATGGACAGGCTGTCCCCTCGGCCCTCTGGCTTGGACGACTTGCTTCTCTGGAAGGGGTTTCTCAGGCTTGCCGCTTGCCGCTGCCTGTCCAGCTTGTCACTGATGGAGAAGCTCTTCCTGGTGTGTGCATATGGTGCGCTTGGCTCCTCAGCCGAGTAGCTGTTGGCACGCTCGATTTTGGGAACCGTGATATTGTTGGACAGGGCTCGGTCTGCGTTCTCACCCTCCTGGGAGGATATTGCCACGGCAGCTCTCCGGCCCCTGGCCTCATTCTCTTCGCTGTCAGAGCTGGGATGACTCAGTTCTGCTTCTCGCTCGGGATGGCAGCAAGATAAGTCCTCTGCTTTGTCTCCAAGGCCCCCTGGGAAGGGAATTCTGTCGGCAGTGGCTTGAAGGGCACTGACACACCTTGTGTCGATGCAGTCCGTAATACTGGTGTATTCTGCTGTTTTCACAGGCACCCCAAAGTTGGCATAATAGCTCCTTGAAGGAGAAAACATAAAGCTGTGTGATTTCACAATGGGAGCCTCTTCCAGAAGAAAGGGCGCGGTGGCTAGGTAGCGGCTACTTTTGGAACGCTCGATGGTGTGGTACGTTGGAGGGTCTGAGTCCCAGGGGTTTTGGCATTCTGGGAGGTGGGTGTAATCGGAGGAAAATGATCTAGTGTCCATGGAAGTGATATCCTCGAAATCAATGCTCCGGCTCGGAGGTCTGTCTGTGGGTGCAAGAGTCGCATAGGCACTACTTGAAGGGGCTGTGGAAGGTGCTAGAGTTGCAAAGCTGGGCTCGCCCAACCCGAGGATGTTCATGGAATTGTCCAGAGGGTCGCCATCCCCGTGGAGCTCATCCATGGCAGAGACGTAGATGTCGATGCACGATGATGGCCTTCTGGAGTCAGGAACAATGGCCAAGGTGTTGGTAGGGGCTGCGGGAGCTTTGCATTCTTTAGCTACAGAGTGGGAGCTAGTGGCCCGGTGTAGGCTCAGGGACCTTTCTTTAAAGATACTTTCCAACTTTTCTATCCCACCTTTGTCTTTCACATTGACTGAATAGAAAGAATGGCTTCGCATACGGGGCATTAAGGTGGGAGAAGTTGGGGACATGGTCTCCTCACCTGCAGGGTCGATGCTCTCTTGGAGCTTGAAGGTGTTCCCCTCCTGGCTGTTGAAGCTGCTCTGGCGGACAATGTAGGCCGCGTCTGTGCAGTCCGAGGAGGTCCTGGAGCGGATCTTGTTGGACTCGGCCCGCTCCACACCTGTCAGGCGCTCCAGGGCCGTGGCCATGCGCCCAATGAGGTCCTCGAGCTGTGCCAGCCGGATGTCCACGGTCTGCAGCGAAGCCTTCATGGAGTGCTCCCTCTCGTTTACTTCCTCTAGCCGCATGGACATGTTCTCCACCCTGGGTGAGGAAGAGAGAGCGAGAGTCACTTGAGTTGGCTTCCTCCACTAGGAGTTGAGCGAGCGAGGACAGAGAGGACCAAGGCTGTGCCCAACTCTCCTCCCAGAGGGAAACTGGGGGTTCCAGGTGGTAAGAGGAGCCAGGAAAGCGAGAGTAGCATTGGTGCTGTCACCGTCAAGCACAGAATCCGCATTTTTGTGAGCTGGAAGAGGCCTTAGAGACAATGGGGTTCAGTGGCTGTAGCAGCCAGCCCCCTTTCCTTCAGAGAAATGAAATGTATGGTCCTGATACACACACACCAGACTGGAGCCGCTCTTGCTGAAGTAGCATGGGGCCCAAGTCCCACCCTTCTGACACCCCCAGGGCCTAGCTGAGGATGAGCACACAGCTTAATGGGCCACATAAGTATTGGGGTGTTGGCTTATCAGGGTTACTAACATAATGAGAATACGGTCTTTAGATGATTTTACTCAGAATTTTGCAATAGAATTTTTAAATGCAGCCTTTTTTAAAATTAGAATATATATATATAAAATTTCTACTCCATGGACTGGGATTGTTTTTATTTCACATCTGTGCTGTACTACTTTGTTGTTATTCAGGAAAATCTTTTTAGGCTATGTGCTGCGCAAGCAAGCACGCAATCATCTTTTCAGAATTCTGTGCCTCCAAAGGAGTTAATGCAGCACTGCCATGGAGGCACTCCGGGATGTGCTAATCTAAAGCAATCCTCTCATTGATAGAGGAAGCAAAAATCAAGAAATTTAACCAGGAGTACCTGAAGTAATTTGTGGTACTTCTCTCTCTGGGTAGCTGCTCACAGATGCCCATACTGTGGTTATTTCTAGATGTCTCCACCCTCCCTATCATAGATTCTTAAGGCTGTAGTCTCATACTTCCTTTTCCACCTGCATGTTGCCAGCTCAGTACTGCCAGGTACCCATAAATGCTTATTGAGTTAATAGTGGCTGCGAACTTGATGTCAGTGGTCCCTCTGGCCGTTTACTTACAAAGACAGTGCCAATATTGAAAATAAAGTTGTACCATGGTTTTCACTTGTTCCAATTAACCTGGAAAAAACCAATCTATGCCAAATTAGGGTATGAGCCCAAATTTTAAATATTTCGAGTATAAATTTGATAGTGCTCCCTTTTCAACTCCCACCGCCGACCTTTTGGTGTATCTGAATAAGACCTATTCACATTTTTTCTAGACAGCACAAAGCTGCTTTTCCAAGCCCGTGATATGCAAAGGAAATTGCCTGATTTCTGAGCCTTAAAAAGAACATGCTTTGTGCAGACCATGGCTGCAGGACGTGTTCCACAAAGAACAGTGGGGACTGGAGCTGGGTCTCCCTGGCGGGGTGCTGGTGGGGGTGTGAATGAGGGCACTGCCTCTGCTGGGGAGGAATTTATCCTTGTATGCCAGAGACACATGTGGATTCCCTCCCAGGGGACCTGTAGGCTTTTGCAGAAGTCTTTCTTCCTGGCCAGTGGTGAGGAGGTAACTTCCCCAACTTCGCTAACCCTCTCATGGATCCCTCGGTCTCCCTTCTCCCAGCCTGAGGCCCTGGACTGCTTTCAAAGGCCCTGTTTCTTAGCCTTCTTTCCTTTGCTCCCTCCTGCCACCCCATAACCAACACAGCACGTCTCAGGGGCCAGCCTCACTCTGTCACCATCTTCAGGTGTAAACCCCAGAGCTTGTGCACTGGCCTGTTTGTGTCTGGCAAACCCCAGGCGATTTGCTCAGTGAACATGAGTGATTCTGAAGGAAAAATACAACTATTCCTTCTTTTACTTCATTTGTATAAATATAGCCCATGAAACAGGTAACAATAACGAGTTCATGTGTCTTATAGACTTACATACGATTACTTTTTCAGCATCTAAACTGTGGTGCCTGATTTTGCAAAAACTGCAGTTTTATTTTTTTGTGATGCAATGTTTCAATAAGTGGATAAAATGTTTCTTAATGAGAGACTAGAGGAGCACTGATCATGTGTTTCTGTAGAATGAGACAGTTTAATATTTCTCTAGGTCCTTTGTCCCACTAGGATTTTTTTTTTTTGCTTATTTATTTATTTGAAAGGCAGAGTGAGAGCCAGAGTGAGTGAGTGAGTGAGAGAGAGAGGAGGAGGCAGGAGGGAGGAGGGAGGAGGGAGGGAGGGAGGGAGAGAGAGAGAGAGCGCTCTTCCATTTTCTGATTATTTCCCCAAATACCTGCAACAGCCAGGGCTGGGCCAGACCAATCCCAGAACTCCATCTGGGCCTCCCATATGGTTCAGGGACCCTGAGCCATCATCTGCTACTTCCCACGTGCATTAGCAAGAAGCCAGATTGGAAGTAGAGGAGCCAGACTCACACTGGGCGCTATAATATAGTGTGCAAGCATCCCAAGCAGCCACATGACTTCTTGTTGCATGTCCCCTGCAACATGTCTTTCCTCCCCCCCCCCCCCAACCAGTTTTCTTTTCTTTCTCAAGCCCATTGTAGAGATGGTCAGAAGGGACAAAGATACCCTATTAGTATAACTGTCCTTGATTACTCACCTAAGAGCTGAAAAGTATCTCCCTGCCACAGTCTGTGCTGTGGGGGCCTTTCTTCCCACATCCCACCTCCTGTTAGCCCCAGGGACCAAAACCACAGAGAAAATGAGCAAGGGAGAAGCAGACCTGAGGCACCAACAACAAGCTGTGGAAGGGTCAGGTTGTAGGCAGTAAGCTGAACACAGGCAGAGGAGCCCCTGGAGGAGGGGAGGGAGGCAGAGGGGTGCAGAAGGAAGAGGCTCTTCAGAGAAAGCCCGGAGCTGCCCAGTGGGAGTCCCTCGAGTGAGGAGGCATGGCCCCTGGGATTTGACCCAGGGGAAGGGACACACTGGAAGAGGGCCGAGGTACTGCTCTTAACGAAATCTTCACTCTCCTTTGGGCACCATCAGACTTGACTGAAACAAATGAGCTGTCTTCTCCACTGTCATCCAGAATTCTGGGTTTTTTCCCCTATCTAACTGTATGAGCATTTAGGTCACAGACTTATCTGGGAGTTTTAATGTTGAGGTTATAAAAGAATAGAATGCCCTAGGGTCAAATGTCTGTACATTTGCTGCATCACAGGTATAAATAGGCCTGAGGAGCTAACCAAGAGTTCTGGGTCATGATTATAGTCCCTGGGAGCTGACTCTGATGAAATAATTCAGGAGGTAATGGAGAGATATAGATAAGAATCAAAGAGTCAACATAATGTCCAAGAAGATAAGACACATGAAGTGATAAAGGAGTCCAATGTTGTGGCACAGTGAGTAAGCTGCCCTCTGTGATGGTGGCATCCCATGCAGCACCAGTTCGAAGCCCAGTTTCTCCAGTTCTGACCCAGTTCCCTGCTAATGTGCCAGGGAAGGCAGTGGAAAATGGCCCAAGTATCTGAACTCTTGCCATCTGTGTGGGAAACCCAGATGAAGCTCCTGGCTCCTGCTTTGATCTGGCCAAGCAGTGGCTGCTATGGCCATTTGGGGAGTGAACCAACAGATGGAAGATCTCTCTGACTTTCCCTCTCTCTCTCTCTCTCTCTCTAACATTGCCATTCAAATAAAATAAAGTAAAATAAAATAAGAAAAAGAGAGGAATTATGGAAAGGGAGAGGTGTGAGGACATTTGCATTATCTCATGTGAACAAGCCCAGGTTTTAATTCATTTTAAACCTCTCTGAACCAAAGCCAGGTTTGAGATGCTAAGAACTGTAATGAGATCTATGGCACATAAAATGTGTAGACTGAATCCATCACCAGCACCCACCATATATATGTACAAGGGTACTCTGAGAATCTGGAAAAATCAAACTAAAGATGTCCATGTTGGTAAAAAGACTGAAATCCATGTATAGCGTTTTCTTAGGAAAGTTTATGGAGTGGGCATTTGGGGTGGGGGTTAAGATGCCAGTTTAGGCTCCCACCTCCCATATTGAAGTGCCTATGTTGGAATCCTAGCTCCCTGCTAATGTACACCCTGGAGGCTGTGATGACGGCTTAAGTAGTCAGGTACCTGCCACCCATGTGGGAGACCTGGATTGAGTTTCTGGTTTCTAGCTTTGGCCTGGCCCAGCCCTAGCTTTTGTAGGCATTTGGGGGAATGGACCAGCAAATGGGAGCTCTGTCTGTCTCTGCCTCTCAAGTGAATGAATAAGAAGTAAAATAAAAAATTAAAAAGTTTATGGAAAATGCATATTGTGAAAAAATTATGCATGGATTTGAAATTTTTTGTATAAAATAAACTTATCTTTTAATTTTTCCTTTCTATGAACTTTTCGACATACTCAGATGTTACCTCAATGATTTTATCACTCTGCAGTTAGGTGTTAATGCTCCATTTTGCATATGGGGATTTAGGTTCAGAGGAGTTAATTAAGTTACTTAAGATCACACAGCTAGTTACTGCAGAATCAGTACTAAATCTTTCCATTAACGTGTTCCTTCCATTATGCCATGGACACTAATCAAATATACAGTGCATGCTCCAAATAGTCATGAATGAATGAATAAAGGAATTAAGCCTAGGCTCTAACTACAACACAGGGAATTAAGTTCCATGTAGACAGCACATTTACGGCTGATGCTATTTCAAGCAAAGTGTATCCTGTGCTGAGAAAGTGAGCAGGGTAGTGGGCAATGTGCTGGAAAGCAGGGTAAATAGTTGAAGCATCTTGGAGTACTTCATTTGGAAAAGACAAAGCAAAGTGAGGAGATGATAGTGGTCCTCACATATGTGAAATATTCCCTCGGAGAGAAAAGATTTCAGTCTTTTTCTGTTTTTGTTGGTAAGATTCCTGTGGGCAATGTGTCCTCTCTTCCAGGAGGTGGGCACAGAGAGGCTGGGTGTAACTAGATGGTGCACTCTTTAAAGCCGCACCCCCCATTCCCTCCTCCTGCCCAGGCTATTGCTCATGCCAGTTGCTCAGGACATATGAGGGCATTTCAAAAAGTTTATGGAAAAATGGAATTTTCAATTTTTTGCTGTAAAAAATTGAAACTTATGCATAATATTCTCACAATCTGCCTTTTCCATCAACTTTTTTTTTTTTTGACAGGCAGAGTGGACAGTGAGAGAGAGAGACAGAGAGAAAGGTCTTCCTTTGCCGTTGGTTCACCCTCCAATGGCTGCCATGGCTGGCGCACCGCGCTGATCTGATGGCAGGAGCCAGGTTCTTCTCCTGGTCTCCCATGGGGTGCAGGGCCCAAGCACTTGGGCCATCCTCCACTGCACTCCCTGGCCACAGCAGAGAGCTGGCCTGGAAGAGGGGCAACCGGGACAGAATCTGGCGCCCCGACTGGGACTAGAACCCGGTGTGCCAGCGCCGCAAGGCAGAGGATTAGCCTAGTGAGCCGCGGCGCCGGCCTCCATCAACTTTTGTAGTATCCATGTATCTGTTAAATTGCTACTGGGTCTTTGGCATCTGAAAACTGAAAAGGACAAGGACTTTTCAGAATCAGCTTTCTAAGAGGTGTTAATGATCTCCTGAATACTTGAATTTAGCTCTTTACATACCAAAAGTGTGATTTAGTAATGAACCATTTAGGTTAATAATTATGGAAGCGTCTTTGTATTTCTAAGGAGACTCATGCAAATATGACTTGTATAAATTTATTATATTTTGAAGGCAGTGGCAGGGACAAATATGGTGCTCACTATATAATAAAGTCCTTTCCCATGTCCTCCACAGGGAAGAGAGCCAGCTTTTAATATTTCTGAGGTCAAACCTCTGTATTGGGGTTGTCTGTCATGCAGGTGGAATTATGCAGTATTCTATACACTATATGGAATGTACACAGTTAATGTAGGTAAATCCAGTCCTAGGTACCTGTACAAATGTGTATATGCTTATACACACACACACACACACACACGTGTGGATATAGCTCTGTCAATCAAATGCAAATAGGACAGTAGATTTTTGCCTATCACTGCACCCAGAAAGAACATATCCTAGAGGACATGTGAGATGGGCAATAGGGGTATCTGCTTGGTAAATCTGTTCCCTTGTGCACCCCATTCTGTTTCTGTTGTACAGAATGCAATTCTAGTGTTTAAATGTTATTTTTGGGTACAATCACAAATGCAAAAAAAAAAAAAACCCTCAGCAACAACAATGCGCCCACACTAACACAGACAGAGGACACTTCTGTGGTACCTGGCCTTGGCCAGCCTGTAACCTCAGGTCAGTGTAATGCCCAGGACCCAGAGAGGGTGGGTCTTGATTTCTGGAATACTGCCCCTCCCCCTCTTTGAGAAGAAGGCTCTGTAAGCACCCAGAGAGGAGCAGGGTCTTGGAAGGAGTAGTCACAGAGTTTGCAGACCAAGGGTGGGGTGCTCAGGTGGAGGTGCTACAGTTCCTTGAAACTGGTGACCCGGGCACAGTATGCGTATATGTGCTAGTGTCTGCACCTCCTCCTGCTAATCCCTGAGAGGCAAAGGCTTCCTTGTATCTTAGCATTTCTTCCTCCCAAGACTACAGCTTTTCTGAATTCAAAAGCATTTCAAAGACATGTGCTTTGTAAATAAGTCTGAGCAATGAGTAATATGTCCACATGGCACAATTTTTCTGGGAACCATATGATTATACCTCCATTAATAAATAGCTTTCCCAAGGCCTGAGAGTGAGAGAGATCCTCAGATTTCCAATTCCTTCCTCTGTTTGCCAGAAAATTACTTTACATTGTATTCTTCTAAAATACTCTATTGTGTAGTGACAGATGTGCGTAAAATCTGTCCATGGCTTTAAAGTTTATTAATATTTTCTGATCTTATGGATACAGTCACTCAATGGTAGGGGTGTATGTAGCTTCTTATCCAGACTACATTCTTTAAAGATGTAAAGGGCCAGGGATAAAAACAAGATGCTATTTATATAATTCCTGCAGAATCACCAGAGACTGTCTGAAATGGGTAAACAGACAAAATGTCATTTCATGAAAACTAGATGTGACTCCCTTGAATCTTAGAAGCCTGAGTCATATTGACTAAACTCATCAATATATTATACCTTTCTATCCTATTTTTAATTTGCTTCTGCCATCTTCATGTTGCAAATGTTTAAAACTTAGTTACATCAATACTTTGTAACACTTTGGGTGCTCTTTGGGACAGTGATTCCCAAATGCTGGATTTTGGACACATTGGTCCATGATAAAGGTGTTATTAGTCTATAGCAAACAAAGACACATAAGAAAATATAAGTGCATTTACATGAAGCTAGATTATTAGATTTAAAGGATTTTCTTCATCTGGGGATTTGTCTTTTTTTTTAAGATTTGATTTTTTATTTATTTGAAAGCCAGAGCTAGAGAGAGAGAGAGGGAGAGACACACAGGGAGATCTTCATCAACTGGCTCACTTCCCAAATGGCTGCAATGACCAGGGCTGGCCCAGGCTGAAGCCAGGAGCCTGGAATTCCATTAGGGTCTCTAACATGTGGACATGGGCTCAAGTACTTGGGTTACCTTTTGTTACCTTCCCAGGTGCATTAGCACTGAGCTGGATTGGAAGAGAAGTAGCCAGTACTTGAACTTGTGCTCATATGGGATGTTGATGTCACAGGTGGTGGCTTAACTCTCTGTGCCACAATGCTAGCCCCATTTGTGGATTTTTTCCTTATAGCTCTGCTGCTTATACTAGCTATTTCATCAATGAGAGCTAAAAGTATATAACTACTGGGTAGAAAAATCTGCTTTTATTTCCTTGTGTTTATTTTGCTGTATAAAATGAGCAAAACAAAGCAGTTTGGGGATTAAAGAGACCTCTAATCATTATTTTAACTAATTTAAAACAAGTCTTTTGATGTCATCTAATTCGAAGGTATTGAGCAAGCTTATCATCCAGGCACTAAGACCATTCTACTCCTCTGAAGAAGGTACTCAGTGGGACACACAAAACACAAACATGCTGGAGAACCTGGAGTTGGGCTGAGTCTCTCGAGTTTGTGCCTGCTCAGGACTTTCTAATTTCTAATCTGAACCAGTAACTCCAGCCCTATTCCAGACACTCAACAATCTGCACTGTCAAAGGGGGCATAGCTACTGCCTACTGGAGAAGGCTGGCATCTTTAGTCTGGGGTTTTGATCTGCAGACACGTTAGGCAATGTCCTGTTCTCTCATAAGCTCCATGGTTTCTGGGACAATAAAAATAAACACAAGACATCTGAGTTTCGTAGCTGTGCAAAGAAATTTGGCTGATAGAGTATGCCATGCCATCAAATGTGTGTAGAGGCATGGCCCTGTGGAACACACCTTTCTGAAGTCACCCGTATCCTTTCATCGTTGGATGAGTTGAACCGATCATCCTTTTCTCTGAAATATTCCTCTATACATTGCTCTTCGAAATCATGTACTTTTTTGAGCTCATCATCGGTTATGAATAGTTCTGTGAAAAGAAAAAGAGAGCCATGAGTCACAGGAGAAGAGCAATGCCATTGCATTGGTGGGACTAATGATAGTTTTTATATCAATTGGTGTTGGGAAGAGGGGCTTGGATTCTTTAATAAGTCCAAACCAAGTCCAAATCCAAATAAGCAACTTGCATTGCTGGCTTCCTTCTGAACATTAGCTTCACTGTGAGTCTCTGAAGTTCACTTGAGTGTATCTGGTTTAGTACAGAAGTTGGCTAGAACTATACAAGTCGCAAAGCCAAGAACCAAACTAACTCAACGAAAAGGAAGCTATTCAGAGCCTGGAAGTTTCCCAAAACTCAACAATTCTGCACTGGGGTGTGGCCGACAGATATTGTAGACAGGGCTTACTAAAAGTCCTTTTGCAACTACATTTCCCTTTCCCCCATCCCATCTCTGAGGGGGAAGAGATAACCACATACATCCCGGTCCAGTCTCCCATGAAGCCAGCAGCAAGCATGAGACAAGAAACAATAGTTTGGGACAAGAAACAATAGAAGTCTGCTACAGGAAGGGGTGGCGTTGCTTTTCTGATAAAATACAGAGATGTGACGACTTCTTTCCACATTATTCCACTTTCCCCTCTATTCCTCCTTTAAACATAAATGTGATGACTAGAGATGCAGCAGCTTTTCTGTGACCCTGAAACCAAACAACTTGCCAAGAAATAGCTGAACCTAAAAATAGGAGGACTCTGGGTCTTTAACTTCAGTGAGCCATTATCTAGCTTTGGGCTAACTAGCTCTTTTCTTTTTGTCAAATGAGATAAACAAAGCTTTAGTTATTTGTGTCATTGTTAGCATGGTTTTCAGTTAACAGATGTAAACCAACTCATAATACATTATGAAGTACAAAAACCAACTCACGGATACAGCAATGTAGAAATAGCCCAGTGGGAAACTGAATCAGGGTGAAGGGGAGAGAGCTACTTTAGAAAAATCATGAATGGGAGAGGTCCTTCTTCTCATCCTTGGCCCTTGAGATTCCACAGGGATTGGCCCAAATGTTTGGAGCCCTGGATTTCAGAGTGTTAGGAATTTAGTTTCTTGAG